TGGAAGGAACAAAGAATAGCAATTTCCTTAATATTCTAGCAACTGATGTTCCACAAGTAAGCAAATTAGTGAATACATACATAACATATAAACTAATAAAGCCCAAATGTCTTGCACTATATACCCACAGCCTCGTATTTCAGGCTCTTTAATGTTTCTTCATTCATTAGTCACGTCATATAGTCTCAAATTATTCTGTCTTTTCTCATTTCCTCCCCTCTTTTCCATATGAAACTTGTCTAAGCCTTTTTTTTTTTTTCTTTTCCTTTAAGGCCTTGCAAACATGTCATCACTTTTATAGCATTTCAAGGAGTTTTTATTAATCAATAAGGATTAATTCCATCTTTCTCTGTGCTCTTTCCCACAGAACATGGTTTATGCCTCTACTGGGGGCATTTTCTTTCTGCTTCATAGTATGGCTATATTATAATTTTTTTATGTATTTCCCCCATCTGTTAGATTGTTTGAAGGTAGGGATGACATTTTATTCATCTCTGGAATCTTCTAGCATTCAGCACAGATTCTTGCACACAAAAAGGTAAAGTCTGCCAAGAAGAGGAAAGAAATAGTGACTTTAAGCAATAGATCTGTGGTACAGACTAATGGTGTTCACATTATCCGTGATCCCTCTGACTCTCCATTTCCTGACTTCCCATACAGTTATATTGGGGCCCTGTGACTAGTTCTAACCCAGACAGTATGATTAGAAGTAACATGTGTAATTTCTGGGTAAAGGGAGTCAACACCTAATGTGCCTCCTTTATTCCTCCCATTCCCTCCCACAGCACCATGTGTGATGTCTGATGGAGGACTACAAATGGAGTCACTAAAAGGTAAAGAAAGACTGTGGAGTGCAAAGTAGGGGAGTGTGTGTGTGTGTAAACTACAAAGATTGGTTTTAACTAAGGACAAAAAAACAAATGTCCCAATATTCCCCTCAACTTGAGTGAAAACACATGTGCACCTGCCATCCAGTGGTAGCATACTGTGACTGAGATTATAGTTGGCTAACAGCTGTGAATATGATTGCTGTGACCTGGTTTTATAGAAAGTGCAAAGTATGAAAGATGTCTCTCCTTTGCTTCTATATTTATATCAAGTATATTTATATAGACTATCTTGGAAATTTTCCCATAAAATTTTGGGGAATGCAAATCTAGTCCAATTTTATATAGCATAAAAAAGAGGAATCAATTGCACTGGACATTGCTGTATGGTGTGCCTTTCAATGACTTTATAGCAGGGAAGGACCTTTTGTCAAAAGAAACGACTTTTTGGGCTCCAAAAGTCTCTTAAGGGGTTATGCATTAAAATTCTTGTCTGTTGGTATTTTTCTAATTTTATATTTTATTTATTATTATCCATAAACAAAGCTTGATGGATTCCAAGTGTCTTATAGATGCTTTCATCTGAACATTCTGATTATTCTGAAAGCGTATAGGATTAGAAAACTGAATTAAAGTTCTTATGATAGACTGTAAACTTTTCAGGCAGGGATCTTGTAAATAGTCTCTCATGAGTATTTAATACTTAATGAGTTTTCTTAAATGAATCAATGATGACTGAATATAGTACCAAGGAACCTAGGCTTTAGTGCCTTTTCCTGTACATTGGGTTTCAGGTGGGCCCCTTAAACTCTCTGAGTCATAGGTTTTTACTTGGAGACTTTAAAGATTAGTTTCAGATTCTAAAATTCTATGACACGTGTAAGCGCTTCAAGAGTGCAAAGATCCACAGAATTTATGCATAATCTTAACAAATTAAAAAAACATTTATGTAGCATTCTTTTCTATTAAACTAAAAACAAATATTTACTTCTCATATTTTAGAGAGCAATGTTAATCAATATGCTTTACAAAATTTGAACATAAATTTACATGCTTAACTTGTAATCTTTGTGTAACTTGCCAGGTGCCTGAACTGTCCTTAAAGGGTTAGTCATTTCTGCATTCACATAATACCTTGTAGGTCACAAGAGAGTTTCACACAAAATGCTCTCAACTGCACGCTTCTCAGTAAGCTGAGTTTTCAGCTGATAAAAACTCATGTCTTTGCTTAAAGTTAAGGCCTCATAGCTGTTCTGTTATTCCATTCATCAATTGCTTTTTGGCTTTCCATTTGCCGGGAACTTTTGTTCTTTTTTGCCATATAATGCAGGTTAATTTTTTAATGCTAGTTATTTTTTCTAGGAATTTGATGATTGTGATCTTGTTATAATTTTTTTCTAAGAAACATACTATATGAGATATATTACATCAAATGTGATGTACAAGCGTTCTTCAAAAAGCTCATGGAAAATGTGTATTATGATAAAACTATGCTTGGATTTCAAAAATTTTTGCACCAAAGTAAACTTGTATTAACTTGTTATAATATGTGTCAACAGGATCTAGTTTGAGGTACTAGGAAGGATAAGACATCACTTTGAAAAGAACCCCTGTCAGAGCAACGTGGATTCTGCTAAAATGAAAGCAATAATAAACATCAAATTTATGGTGGAGCTTGAGTGGAAGAATGGTGAAATCACTGATGTTTTACAAAAAGTCTATGAGGATAATACCTGAAAGAAGTCAGCAGCTTACAAATGGAAAACTCATTTTAAGAAGGAACAAGATGATCTTGAAGATGAAGCCTGCAGCAGATGACCATTCACATCAATTTGCAAGGGAAAAATTAATCTTGTCTGTGCCTTAATTGAAGAGGACCAACAATTAACAGCAGAAACAATAACCAAAACCATCGGACATATCAATTAGTTCCACTTACATAGTACTGACTGAAAAATTATAGTTGAGCAAAGTTTGCACTCAATAGGTGCCAAAACTGTTGCACCCTGATTAGCTGCAGGCAAGAGCAGAGTTTTCCATTGCAATTTTAAACAAATGAGATCAAGATCCTGAAGTGTTTCTCAGGAGATGAAACATGGCTTTATCAATATGATCCTGAAAACAAAGCCCAATCAAAGCCATGGCTACTAAGAGGTAGAAGTAGTCCAGGAAAAGCAAGAGTGGACTTGTCAAGAACAAAAGTCATGGCAACAGTTTTTTGGGATGCTCAACATATTTTGCCTGTTGACTCTCTGGAAGGCCAAAGAACAATAACATCTGATTATTATGAGAATTTTTTGGAAAAGTTAGCCAAAACTTTAATGAAAAATGCCAGAGAAAAGCTTCACCAGAAAGTCCTTCTTCACCATAACAATGCTCCCCTGCTCATTCCTCTCATCAAACAAGGGCAATTTTGCAAGAGTTTCGATGGGAAATAATTAGGAGTCCACCTTACAGTCCTGATTTGGCTCCTTTGGATTTATTTTTGTTTCCTAATCTTCAAAATTCTTTAAAGGTTACCCATTCATTTTCAGATAATAACATAAAAAAGACAGCATTGACTGATTAAATTCCTAGGACCCTCAGTTCTTTAAGAATGAACTAAATGGCTGGCATCTCTTACAAGTGTCTTGAACTTGATAAAGCTCATGTTGAGAAATAAAGTTGATGTTTTTCATTTTTATTTTTTAATTTTATTTTTCCACTAATTTTTTGAAGTCTACTTGTATGTTTCAGATTCATTGGTTTGTGCCTCTGCTCTTTAGACCTGTGGTTTGGGCTGAAGCCTGGCAGTGCAGGTGGTCACTTGAAGTATATTAATTTTGTTTGTTTTTCCTTGGTCTACCAGAACTTCATTTGTTTATGCAGGTCCAGAGTCATGGAATTCAGTGATGGCTTTGGAATATTTATCTCCATTGACTTTCATTTATTGATTTGACATATTTTTTAAGCAACTATTACATCCCAGGAACCATAATAAACTTTTTAGATACAAGTAGTGGTTCCCGCAAGTAAACTATACACCTTATCTTTCATTTTCAGACTGATTATGATGCCAATGCTGTGATGGACACTCATCAAATAATTATGTTTGTGTATACATACACATCCAGAGTATAAATGTTGGGATATTGGGTTTCTTATCTGATATTCTTTAAGTATTTTCAATCTAAACTGGAATACACCATCCTAATTATTGAATTGAAGGGTTGTCCAGAGACTCAGAAACATGTTTCAAAAACACAAATGAAATTCTTCCTAAGTAGCCTTCATGAAGGAGAATGAGCTTTGTTCCAGATGCCAAATATCCAAAGAAAAATTGTGGACTTTTTGGTCTGTACACTAACTTTATTTTACTTTAAATAAACCTTACTGAGGTACATCTTGCACATATTAAAACGTATGCATTTTAAATTAATAGTTTGATGAGTTTTGAAAAATTTATACACCCATTTAAACATCACTATGATACAGAGAATTTTCATTGTTCTGGAAAGTTCCCTCCTGCATTTTTCTTTAATCCTTTCTATATTCCAGAAAATCACTAATCTGGTTTTTATCATCATAGATTAGTTGGTTTTTCCTAGTTTAGAATGTTATATAAATGAAGTGATATTATATGCATTCTTCATATTTGGCTTCTTTAGTTCCGCCTATATTTTTTTCAATTCATCCATGAAGTTGTATGACTGCATCAATAGTCTGGACCCTTTATTGTTAGTTTTCTTTTATATGGAAACACCACAAATTATCAATTCACATGTTGATAGCTGTTTGGATTCTTTTAATTATTGGCTTTTATAAATATTTAAATGCAAATATTCCTGTGGACATGTGTTATCATACCAACATTGATTTTTAATACATAAAGTAAAAACCAAGTGATTTCTTATTTAAAAGGTAATATGATATCTAAAATGAGTATTTTGTTAGGTATCTGAATAACTGGAAATAAGCCTAGTTGTACACTTGACTGATTCACTCTTTGGCAAAGACACAAAAAATATGTAAACCTTATTTTCTTCACAAGTAATACAAACTAATTTGGTTATTAAAAAGAGTCAACCAGATAATGTAAATGGAATTGCTTTGTAAATTACAAAGTTTAATAAAAATAAAAGGTGATATTATTACATGTAACACATATACGTATTTAGGAAATAATATATATATAGGTCTTTAGAAATAAGATAATAAAAGCTTCTCTCATTCATTGTTTTTCTAAAGAATAAATTGGACAATTCCAAAATCCAGAATTAGTTTTCTATAGAAAAATTAATGATTTCACTGGCGTCTTACTTTAAATAAATTCCTTGTTCAGTTAAGATTAGATATGTATCTCTGATTAACTATAAGAAGAATCATTTATCATATAGGAGGTAGAGACCCAGTCGCAGGGTGGTACATAAGAAAGATAAGTCTCTTACTCTACTATTCAATCAAATTATTCTTTGAGAATGAAATTCCTCGTTATAACTATTCTAGAGAGAATTTTTATCTCTTTTCCACTCTAGATACGGAATCTTTAAAGATTATCCCTCTTTTTAATTGAAAGAGCTTTTCCTCCCTTCTTTTATGCTCCAGTTACTGTATGAATTTTAAGAAAACACAAACATGCAGTCCATCACAAATGGACAGTAGGAGCAACTCCCACACTGGACCCTTGGTCTTTGAGGTAAAAAAAATATTATAATAGGAGTGCCTTTAAGGGTGGCTCTAATCTCCTTAGCTGTCCCCCTTGCTCAAAACTATGTGAAATTGTTTTTGATTTACTGTCTTGGCTGGAGAAGGTGAGTTAGTTTGATTTCTAGGCTGAGCAGTGCTTGGTGACCAGGAGTTTAGGCATCTGGTTCACACCACCAGGTAAGCCATTGAGGTCAGCAGAGGTGGTAGCTGAGGATGAGGGAAACCTAAAATGTGTGGTAGAGGAGGAACAAAATCACAAATGAGTACTGACTGTGGCTGCAAGCACAACTGCAGTGATATGGGCTTTCCTTTCTCCCACTAATTTCCCATTCCTAAGATTCTCCTCAGGGAGAGATGCGTGCCAGAGTCCTGCTCCACCACCTGCTTCTTGAACGTACATGGAGAAGTAGATGCCAATGGTGCAAAGCGTGAACTGTGATAAATATAAAGATGCATCACCTGGATGCCCTTCAATGAATGGCTTGCTGGAGTCCTGCTCCACCACCTGCTTCTTGAACGTACATGGAGAAGTAGATGCCAATGGTGCAAACGGTGAACTGTGATAAATATAAAGATGCATCACCTGGATGCCCTTCAATGAATGGCTTGCTGGGGGAATGCTATCAGCAGACGGCCCCCAGTATTGACTCCATCAGAGTTTGCCTCAGCTGCAGCACATTGCTTCACCTACATCTGGTGATTGAGCAAGGCAGAGGCATAAAGACCTGGCCATTTTACCCCAACACTGGCCACTTTAGACAGTCTGGGGTTGATGTTTCTATTTACTGACACAACTGGTTAAGGAATAGCTTCTTATGTGGACCACCTCAGTTCTCTCCAAACCTCCATACTGAGCTTGCCAAGCTTTGATGGGTACTTATCACAGTTTTCTTCCTCTTATCATAGATTTCTTATCACAGATTTCTTTCTCTGCCCAATATTGCTTACTTCTTCCCTTATCTAACAACCACCTTGCCTACTAAATGTAGTATCATTGTTTGCTTCTGGAGAAACCAACCTGTGGCATACCAGTTTAAACTAGTAAAGAAATGCAAACCAGGCACAGTATCTCCCTATTTTTGCTTTTAGGATCCATATTCAAGATACAGAACCATGTGAAATTCCTGCACGTAAAGAATACACAGTAACATTAAACAAGCAGTTGAAAAAAATCACTCTAAATATGCAATTTTCAGGCCCCTTCCTTGTTCTAAACTCTAGTCATCTCTTAATTCAAATGCAGTAATTATGTGTATGTGGATTAAATCATTCACAAATAATATGTTTTTCTCCTTCTATTAACATGTTCACCTTTTTTATTTTTAATATTTTTTTACTCAGGCTTTATGAAGTAAAACTTACATCCAGGAAATTCACCCTTTGTAGGTATGTAGTCTTATGAATTTCGGCAAATGTGTACATCTCTGTATCACCACAATCAAGAAGTGGATCCACGAAGTCCACCACCAGCCCTTGGCAACCACTCATTTAGGGTTTGGTTTTTGGTTTGTACTTTGTAACTGTATTTTTTTACTCTGCGACTTTGTTTCTTTTTATCACCCTTAGCAATCATGTCTGGTACTTTAGGGTGACTCCAATTTAGTGACATCAAAGCAGCCCTTAGGAAATGGCTCTGTGGCATGTTTTGGAACATCTTATATTTACCTGAGGTGAGTTTCCACTGCTACATGACATGATGTGTTAACCCAGTTTCCACATTGCCTAGCTCTGGGGCTTTACCTTCTGCCTTTTCCAATCAGTCAGACTGGCTCCTTCTTTCTCAGAGTTCATTGCTTTAAGGTTCTCAAAGATTCCCTACTTAAACTAAACAATCACAGAGAGGCTCCAGAACTCATGAAATCAAATGAATTTATGTTTCAACTCTAGTAACTCTATCACCTACTTTCTCCCTGTAAGTTTTAGATTTAAATGGCTTAGTGCTTCGTTAAAT